GACTCAATATCTGACTTTGTTAAACACATTAATGACTCAATATCTGACTTTGTTAAACACATTAATGACTCAATATCTGACTTTGTTAAACACATTAATGACTCAATATCTGACTTTGTTAAACACATTAATGACTCAATATCTGACTTTGTTAAACACATTAATGACTCAATATCTGACTTTGTTAAACACATTAATGACTCAATATCTGACTTTGTTAAACACATTAATGACTCAATATCTGACTTTGTTAAACACATTAATGACTCAATATCTGACTTTGTTAAACACATTAATGACTCAATATCTGACTTTGTTAAACACATTAATGACTCAATATCTGACTTTGTTAAACACATTAATGACTCAATATCTGACTTTGTTAAACACATTAATGACTCAATATCTGACTTTGTTAAACACATTAATGACTCAATATCTGACTTTGTTAAACACATTAATGACTCAATATCTGACTTTGTTAAACACATTAATGACTCAATATCTGACTTTGTTAAACACATTAATGACTCAATATCTGACTTTGTTAAACACATTAATGACTCAATATCTGACTTTGTTAAACACATTAATGACTCAATATCTGACTTTGTTAAACACATTAATGACTCAATATCTGACTTTGTTAAACACATTAATGACTCAATATCTGACTTTGTTAAACACATTAATGACTCAATATCTGACTTTGTTAAACACATTAATGACTCAATATCTGACTTTGTTAAACACATTAATGACTCAATATCTGACTTTGTTAAACACATTAATGACTCAATATCTGACTTTGTTAAACACATTAATGACTCAATATCTGACTTTGTTAAACACATTAATGACTCAATATCTGACTTTGTTAAACACATTAATGACTCAATATCTGACTTTGTTAAACACATTAATGACTCAATATCTGACTTTGTTAAACACATTAATGACTCAATATCTGACTTTGTTAAACACATTAATGACTCAATATCTGACTTTGTTAAACACATTAATGACTCAATATCTGACTTTGTTAAACACATTAATGACTCAATATCTGACTTTGTTAAACACATTAATGACTCAATATCTGACTTTGTTAAACACATTAATGACTCAATATCTGACTTTGTTAAACACATTAATGACTCAATATCTGACTTTGTTAAACACATTAATGACTCAATATCTGACTTTGTTAAACACATTAATGACTCAATATCTGACTTTGTTAAACACATTAATGACTCAATATCTGACTTTGTTAAACACATTAATGACTCAATATCTGACTTTGTTAAACACATTAATGACTCAATATCTGACTTTGTTAAACACATTAATGACTCAATATCTGACTTTGTTAAACACATTAATGACTCAATATCTGACTTTGTTAAACACATTAATGACTCAATATCTGACTTTGTTAAACACATTAATGACTCAATATCTGACTTTGTTAAACACATTAATGACTCAATATCTGACTTTGTTAAACACATTAATGACTCAATATCTGACTTTGTTAAACACATTAATGACTCAATATCTGACTTTGTTAAACACATTAATGACTCAATATCTGACTTTGTTAAACACATTAATGACTCAATATCTGACTTTGTTAAACACATTAATGACTCAATATCTGACTTTGTTAAACACATTAATGACTCAATATCTGACTTTGTTAAACACATTAATGACTCAATATCTGACTTTGTTAAACACATTAATGACTCAATATCTGACTTTGTTAAACACATTAATGACTCAATATCTGACTTTGTTAAACACATTAATGACTCAATATCTGACTTTGTTAAACACATTAATGACTCAATATCTGACTTTGTTAAACACATTAATGACTCAATATCTGACTTTGTTAAACACATTAATGACTCAATATCTGACTTTGTTAAACACATTAATGACTCAATATCTGACTTTGTTAAACACATTAATGACTCAATATCTGACTTTGTTAAACACATTAATGACTCAATATCTGACTTTGTTAAACACATTAATGACTCAATATCTGACTTTGTTAAACACATTAATGACTCAATATCTGACTTTGTTAAACACATTAATGACTCAATATCTGACTTTGTTAAACACATTAATGACTCAATATCTGACTTTGTTAAACACATTAATGACTCAATATCTGACTTTGTTAAACACATTAATGACTCAATATCTGACTTTGTTAATCACATTAATGACTCAATATCTGACTTTGTTAATCACATTAATGACTCAATATCTGACTTTGTTAAACACATTAATGACTCAATATCTGACTTTGTTAAACACATTAATGACTCAATATCTGACTTTGTTAAACACATTAATGACTCAATATCTGACTTTGTTAAACACATTAATGACTCAATATCTGACTTTGTTAAACACATTAATGACTCAATATCTGACTTTGTTAAACACATTAATGACTCAATATCTGACTTTGTTAAACACATTAATGACTCAATATCTGACTTTGTTAAACACATTAATGACTCAATATCTGACTTTGTTAAACACATTAATGACTCAATATCTGACTTTGTTAAACACATTAATGACTCAATATCTGACTTTGTTAAACACATTAATGACTCAATATCTGACTTTGTTAAACACATTAATGACTCAATATCTGACTTTGTTAAACACATTAATGACTCAATATCTGACTTTGTTAAACACATTAATGACTCAATATCTGACTTTGTTAAACACATTAATGACTCAATATCTGACTTTGTTAAACACATTAATGACTCAATATCTGACTTTGTTAAACACATTAATGACTCAATATCTGACTTTGTTAAACACATTAATGACTCAATATCTGACTTTGTTAAACACATTAATGACTCAATATCTGACTTTGTTAAACACATTAATGACTCAATATCTGACTTTGTTAAACACATTAATGACTCAATATCTGACTTTGTTAAACACATTAATGACTCAATATCTGACTTTGTTAAACACATTAATGACTCAATATCTGACTTTGTTAAACACATTAATGACTCAATATCTGACACTAACAAAATCTTGCAGGGCTGCATTTTTTCCGGATTTTTTTGTCATAGACCTTTTAGTGTTTCTGAAACAACAAGATAATTTTTTACATCTTTAGGTTTTGATGTTTTATTCTTGCTAGTATTATGCAACATTAGGTGTGAATTTCTGCAAGTGTCGCTTTTTAGATCTGTTCACATTTGATGTATTGGTACCTTTTTTTTAAGTTTAGTTCTTTTAATTAAGGGTTTGTTCATTTGGCTCCCTTTTGTGTATTTGTGAACGATTCAGATATTAGGCATTCTGCCAACTTATACTTGGATTTTGACCAATGGGGCGACAGCATTTCCGTCAATGTTACCCTCAAAACTATATATGTGTTTTAAAAAAATTGCTACAAAATAATCTTATATGCTATTTAGAAACAGCATTATAAAAATAAATGTAAAATTGTATTACGGTCTGGCTTAACTTTTCTTTTTACTAAGGTTTTTTAGCAACAATTATACTAGAAATTAGATAAAACCTACCATTGTGTGTTGTTTCTTATGCTTATACTCTTATGTGGATAAAAATTGTTCATTCATCTTAGTACAGCATCTGTTAAAATAATTTAATTAATAGTCAAAAGGTGATGGGTAAAAACATTTAAAAGTAATGTCAAAGTTAATTAAATGTCTTATATAGAATAGGATTTATATATATTTGCTTGATTTAATAGCTTTTTCAAAAAGTAATTTTTTTTATTCAATTAAAAAAAAGTGTTGTTTTTTTTGTTGAACTTTTTATATGATTTGTGGTTATTCAAAAGCAATTGAATTTAATTGCTTACAAATTTATTAACATATATCTAAACATATATCTAAAACATATAATGTATATCCAAAAAAAAGATGCCCAAGATTAACCTGTTAAAATGCTTTTTATTCAAAACCTGGGTTTTAAATGAAGCAAAATTAGATTGATGATAATAATAGCTTTTATTGAAATCAGTTTAAAAATGCTTTAAAATTGTTATAAAAAAGATTATAAAAAAAAATAATTTTTATTTCTAAATCTAAAAGATTTCTTATTGAACTTTTATTTAAAAATAATTATATTATTTAATTTTTTAATATATAATGGTGCTTCAAAAAGACTTTATCACAGAGCATAAGAGCATTTAACCAGGAGATTCAAGCTTTCAATGTTGTTTATCTGGTTTATCTTATCAAAGTGTTCAAAAAAACTTATTAAAAAATTACTGTATTAAAATTTATATAATGGTTTAAGGGTTGATTTAATTTGGTATATCTCTAGAAAAATATTTCCAATATTCAAAATTGGAATTTCTATATTTCTGGAATAAAAATAAAATGTCAGAGAAAAAGGTGGTTGGACGATGGAAGATGTATCAAATATGCAGTTGTTTTCCCCTTATTTGGTTTTTAATTTTTTTATTTACTATGCAAAGTCTTAGTCTTTTTTTATTTATTAAAAATCATTTGTTAATCTTAAAATAAAACAAAAAATTTACCATATCACATCATATAAACTTTAAATTTATTATCTTTAGTGTAAGTATCTGTATTATTAATAAGGATTCAATAATAGCAACAACACTGTTGGGTTATGTCGCCATTTATGCATCCAAACTAATCCCTGTTATGATTGGTTTGGATGCATTAATAACGAAATGATTTGATTGGATGTATTTTAACTCTAGTTTTTACCATGCTAAAAAGTTTATTAATCTATTAGATTGTGTCTACGTGTATTTATATTTATCTTTGTATTTTCTTTGTATATTTGTTTATTGATTAGATTATTAAAGCTTGCTATAAATTGTACTAATTTATTTTAATTTAAACAAATTTTGTTTATATTTATTTAATCAAATTTTGTTTTTATTTATTTAAAACTAAACTTATTATAGGTTGTGTTTGCCATAATATTAGGTTATGGATGAGCTTATTCGCACACGAGCTGATTTTGCTGAATGTCAAGATGAATTAACAGAACTACAACTAAAAGTAACTAAAAGATTGTCTGATGATGATATCAGTAGTTGCTGTTCAAATAAAAAACAGAAAAAAGAAAGCATTCATATAACAGCTGATCATCTTTTACCTTTACAAACAAATATGGCAGAATTAAATACAATATGTCCCGAAACTAATGTTATAAAAGAAACAACTATAATTTCTAAAAATGATGACCATGTTTTAAAAGAAGACAATGAAACGTTATGTAAAAAGAATCTGGATAATCTGTCAAAAATGTACACATCTTCAGACCTTGGTATGGAATACTTTGATGCAGAGTGTACTGATTGCAAGCGAAAGTGGAAAGAGCCATCCAAAGATGAGCTCTCTATTTTTTTGCATGCTGTTACATATAAGGTAAATTTTTTTATCAATAGTTTATAAATATTTATAAACTATTATTATATTTATCTTTCCTTTAGATTTCTAATTATCTTTCCTTTTGATTCCTATTTATCTTTCCTTTAGATTTCTAATTATCTTTCCTTTTGATTCCTATTTATCTTTCCTTTAGATTTCTAATTATCTTTCCTTTTGATTCCTATTTATCTTTCCTTTAGATTCCTAACTATCTTTCCTTTTGATTCCTATTTATCTTTCCTTTAGATTTCTAATTATCTTTCCTTTTGATTCCTATTTATCTTTCCTTTAGATTCCTAACTATCTTTCCTTTTGATTCCTATTTATCTTTCCTTTAGATTTCTAATTATCTTTCCTTTAGATTCCTATTTATCTTTCCTTTAGATTTCTAACTATCTTTCCTTTTGATTCCTATTTATCTTTCCTTTAGATTTCTAATTATCTTTCCTTTTGATTCCTATTTATCTTTCCTTTAGATTTCTAACTATCTTTCCTTTTGATTCCTATTTATCTTTCCTTTAGATTTCTAATTATCTTTCCTTTTGATTCCTATTTATCTTTCCTTTAGATTCCTAACTATCTTTCCTTTTGATTCCTATTTATCTTTCCTTTAGATTTCTAATTATCTTTCCTTTTGATTCCTATTTATCTTTCCTTTAGATTCCTAACTATCTTTCCTTTTGATTCCTATTTATCTTTCCTTTAGATTTCTAATTATCTTTCCTTTAGATTCCTATTTATCTTTCCTTTAGATTTCTAACTATCTTTCCTTTTGATTCCTATTTATCTTTCCTTTAGATTTCTAATTATCTTTCCTTTTGATTCCTATTTATCTTTCCTTTAGATTTCTAACTATCTTTCCTTTTGATTCCTATTTATCTTTCCTTTAGATTTCTAATTATCTTTCCTTTTGATTCCTATTTATCTTTCCTTTAGATTTCTAATTATCTTTCCTTTTGATTCCTATTTATCTTTCCTTTAGATTCCTAACTATCTTTCCTTTTGATTCCTATTTATCTTTCCTTTAGATTTCTAATTATCTTTCCTTTTGATTCCTATTTATCTTTCCTTTAGATTCCTAACTATCTTTCCTTTTGATTCCTATTTATCTTTCCTTTAGATTTCTAATTATCTTTCCTTTAGATTCCTATTTATCTTTCCTTTAGATTCCTAACTATCTTTCCTTTTGATTCCTATTTATCTTTCCTTTAGATTTCTAATTATCTTTCCTTTAGATTCCTAACTATCTTTCCTTTTGATTCCTATTTATCTTTCCTTTAGATTTCTAATTATCTTTCCTTTTGATTCCTATTTATCTTTCCTTTAGATTTCTAATTATCTTTCCTTTTGATTCCTATTTATCTTTCCTTTAGATTTCTAATTATCTTTCCTTTTGATTCCTATTTATCTTTCCTTTAGATTCCTAACTATCTTTCCTTTTGATTCCTATTTATCTTTCCTTTAGATTTCTAATTATCTTTCCTTTTGATTCCTATTTATCTTTCCTTTAGATTCCTAACTATCTTTCCTTTTGATTCCTATTTATCTTTCCTTTAGATTTCTAATTATCTTTCCTTTAGATTCCTATTTATCTTTCCTTTAGATTTCTAACTATCTTTCCTTTTGATTCCTATTTATCTTTCCTTTAGATTTCTAATTATCTTTCCTTTTGATTCCTATTTATCTTTCCTTTAGATTTCTAACTATCTTTCCTTTTGATTCCTATTTATCTTTCCTTTAGATTTCTAATTATCTTTCCTTTTGATTCCTATTTATCTTTCCTTTAGATTTCTAATTATCTTTCCTTTTGATTCCTATTTATCTTTCCTTTAGATTCCTAACTATCTTTCCTTTTGATTCCTATTTATCTTTCCTTTAGATTTCTAATTATCTTTCCTTTAGATTCCTATTTATCTTTCCTTTAGATTCCTAACTATCTTTCCTTTTGATTCCTATTTATCTTTCCTTTAGATTTCTAATTATCTTTCCTTTAGATTCCTATTTATCTTTCCTTTAGATTTCTAACTATCTTTCCTTTTGATTCCTATTTATCTTTCCTTTAGATTTCTAATTATCTTTCCTTTTGATTCCTATTTATCTTTCCTTTAGATTTCTAATTATCTTTCCTTTTGATTCCTATTTATCTTTCCTTTAGATTTCTAATTATCTTTCCTTTTGATTCCTATTTATCTTTCCTTTAGATTTCTAACTATCTTTCCTTTTGATTCCTATTTATCTTTCCTTTAGATTTCTAATTATCTTTCCTTTTGATTCCTATTTATCTTTCCTTTAGATTTCTAATTATCTTTCCTTTTGATTCCTATTTATCTTTCCTTTAGATTTCTAATTATCTTTCCTTTTGATTCCTATTTATCTTTCCTTTAGATTCCTAACTATCTTTCCTTTTGATTCCTATTTATCTTTCCTTTAGATTTCTAATTATCTTTCCTTTAGATTCCTATTTATCTTTCCTTTAGATTCCTATTTAACCAGAAAATTTAAGGACTAAAAATGTAGTTTTTATTTTTTTATTTTAATTTAAAAATAATCAGTTTAATTTTTCTTTTTTTTCTTTTTAATTTTTTATGGTATTTTACTTTAATTATTTACGACACAAAACTTTAGTTATTTATGACACAAAACTGGGACTTTTAATTTTTAAACTTTTCTTTTAACAATATAAAGATGTGTTGAAAAACTTTTGTATTGTAATTCAATTTGTTTATTTCAATACACTTAAAAATGCTTAATAAGCTCAATAATGTTATTCGGTCTTCAATATAGGTCTCATTTTTAATAGTTGTTTTTATAAATCAGCTGTTTATGCTCTGGTACTAGTGCTAGTCCCATTTATGCTCTGGTACTAGTGCCAGTCCCATTGTTTTTTATATATTTTTTTTACTTTTTACTTTGTTATACTCATATATTTAAATTTTTTATTTTTCATATATTTTATATTTTTTATATCAACAACGATTTAAAGAACTCTTGATTTTCATTTGAGACATTTTTTATTTTATTAATCTTAAGTTAATAATCTATAATAAAAAATTATGTAGGGTCCTGGCTGGGAATATACAACCAAAATGCCGCTATGGGCCTCTTCTGATTGGAAGTTTTGAAGTTAGGTAAAAAAAAATATTTTTATTTATGTTTGTTAATTTTTTACTTAACAATTTTTTCCTTGGATTTTATTTAAATATTTTGTGATATAAATAATGATACATGAATATTTACTAAAAGGATTATTTTTCAAACATATTTCCGAAGATATTCATTCTCCATTTTTTAACATTTTTTTTTTAGTTTTTTTAAATTATCTCCATGCTTTTTATTTCATTCATTATTGGATAGATTATCACCAAGACCTGTTTGAGCAAAAACTGATTCTTAAAACATTTCTGAATAGTTTGGAATACTAATTTGGAGTATATACTGGATCAAAAAAAGTTTGCTATGAAATTTTTTTTTCAAGAATTCTGCATGTAAACCAAGAACTAACTCTATGTATTTTTTCTGGATCATGAACAGTGAATAAAAAATGATATTAAACCACTATTCAACTAAAGCAAAAACTTTAGGCCTATATATGTTACAAGGTGTCTGCCAGGGAAAACAGGAAAAAGTCAGGGAATTCAAATATCTGCAAAAAAGTCAGGGAATAATCAATTAAATAAGGTTGAATTTTGTAAAGCCAGTGAGAAATCAGGGAAAATTGCTCTTCATCAATCTTAGATAACTTACATTAAACTTATCTAAAATGTAAATTGTACACATAATATGAAATTTTATTTGCGGGTTTATGAAAATTCTCTTAAATATGCGCTGTATTAATATTTACACTTTTGCAATTAAAGAGCGTTCTAAAAGAATAAAAGCCTATTGTTTCTGAAGTTGAGTTTGAAATTAAATCAGGGAAAACAGAATCAAAAAATATCAGGCAAATCCATCCTCAAATATTGGCAGACTTGTGTTGGACAATTTTTTCATGGCAAAATAAAAGTTGAAAGCAGACAGACGACTGTTATGACAGTATGAAAGATGACATATTGTGATTGCCATATTTGTTTGACATATGTAATGTTTAATTGTAATACGATTAACATATTTGTTTGACATATGTAATGTTTGATTGTAATATGATTAACATGTTTGTTTGACATATGTAATGTTTGGTTGTCCATGACAGTATGGCAGTTATTAAAAAATCAGTCTTGGATTATGAAAAATCCATTTTTCAAAAAGCAAAATAAGAAGTCCCATAGACAAGTTTTTAAAAGATATCTTGGAAAAATTAAAAAGCGAAAAAAGATAAAATTAAAACAAAAATTAGATAAATTAGTAGTACTTTAAACAATCTTTTTTTTCATTCTGTTTTTCTTTTTCTTTTTTTCATTCTATTTTTCTTTTCATATTTTGAAAATCAAACCGAAACCCAATCTATATCCTATAATCTCTCTGATATTTTCTTCGTTAATTAACAAATCAATAGAAGACTCAAAACGATTGATCCAAATAAGTCTCTGATATTGATGCCATGCTCCCGCGAATTTTTCTAAACTTTTCTTTAGGTTTGACATTACCTTTGTCAATAATCTTTAATCACTCACTGAGTTCTGGCAATGTCGTCGTGGTCATAAACGCATTCTATAAAGAGTTTAGAACACAGTTAATGAAGAGTTTCAAAAATAAATTTTTTATTATCGAAACTGCAATACAAAGATAGACTTAAACTCTGACAGAAAAGAGGATCAGAGGTGACATGATACAACAGTTTTTGTTTTTTTTTAAACTTCTGATTCATACCTTGGAAGACTACAAAGCAACTTCTATTAAGTTGGGAATTACTAGAAAAAAAGAATTATAAAAAAAAAGAGTTATAGAGCAAGAATACGGAGTCAGGTAAACATAAAGATGGGAGAGAGTTCCAAGGGTTGAGGTGCGGGTAAAAAAACTAGACGAATAAAAGTTTTTAGAGCATGCAGGGACAGATACAGTAAAAAAATGAGACTTTGCCTAATGATTAGTCAAGCAATAATGAGTTTTAGTTGATGGAACTAGAGATGATAGTTCCTTTGGACCGCGACCATGATAGTGTTTGTAGAAAAAAAGAAAAGATGCAACAACGATGGGAAAAAGGCTCAAACTTAGCAGCGTTGTCTAGAAGCATATCATTGGAAAAATCAGCCCAAATATTACAACAGAATTCCATTCAGGGATCAATAAAAGATTTGTAGAGGTAGAGAATGGAATCAGGAGAGAGAAAATGGCGAACATGATAAAGAGAAGCAATCTTAGCAGATTTAGCAATTGATTGAATCTATGGTTTTCATGAAAGGTCTGCTCTAATGTAATTTAGCAATTGATTGAATCTATGGTTTTCATGAAAGGTCTGCTCTAATGTAATTTAGCAATTGATTGAATATATGGTTTTCATGAAAGGTCTGCTCTAATGTAATTTAGCAATTGATTGAATATATGGTTTTCATGAAAGGTCTGCTCTAATGTAATTTAGCAATTGATTGTATATATGGTTTTCATGAAAGGTCTGCTCTAATGTAATTTAGCAATTGATTGTATATATGGTTTTCATGAAAGGTCTGCTCTAATGTAATTCAGCAATTGATTGTATATATGGTTTTCATGAAAGGTCTGCTCTAATGTAATTCAGCAATTGATTGTATATATGGTTTTCATGAAAGGTCTGCTCTAATGTAATTTAGCAATTGATTGAATATATGGTTTTCATGAAAGGTCAGCTCTAATGTAATTTAGCAATTGATTGATTATATGGTTTTCATGAAAGGTCTGCTCTAATGTAATTTAGCAATTGATTGTATATATGGTTTTCATGAAAGGTCTGCTCTAATGTAATTTAGCAATTGATTGATTATATGGTTTTCATGAAAGGTCTGCTCTAATGTAATTTAGCAATTGATTGTATATATGGTTTTCATGAAAGGTCTGCTCTAATGTAATTTAGCAATTGATTGAATATATGGTTTTCATGAAAGGTCTGCTCTAATGTAATTTAGCAATTGATTGAATATATGGTTTTCATGAAAGGTCTGCTCTAATGTAATTTAGCAATTGATTGAATATATGGTTTTCATGAAAGGTCTGCTCTAATGTAATTTAGAAATTGATTGAATATATGGTTTTCATGAAAGGTCTGCTCTAATGTAATTTAGCAATTGATTGAATATATGGTTTTATGAAAGGTCTGCTCTAATGTAATTTAGCAATTGATTGTATATATGGTTTTCATGAAAGGTCTGCTCTAATGTAATTTAGCAATTGATTGAATATATGGTTTTCATGAAAGGTCTGCTCTAATGTAATTTAGCAATTGATTGAATATATGGTTTTCATGAAAGGTCTGCTCTAATGTAATTTAGCAATTGATTGAATATATGGTTTTCATGAAAGGTCTGCTCTAATGTAATTTAGCAATTGATTGTATATATGGTTTTCATGAAAGGTCTGCTCTAATGTAATTTAGCAATTGATTGTATATATGGTTTTCATGAAAGGTCTGCTCTAATGTAATTTAGCAATTGATTGTATATATGGTTTTCATGAAAGGTCTGCTCTAATGTAATTTAGCAATTGATTGAATCTATGGTTTTCATGAAAGGTCTGCTCTAATGTAATTTAGCAATTGATTGTTTATATGGTTTTCATGAAAGGTCTGCTGTAATGTAATTTAGCAATTGATTGTATATATGGTTTTCATGAAAGGTCTGCTCTAATGTAATTTAGCAATTGATTGTATATATGGTTTTCATGAAAGGTCTGCTCTAATGTAATTTAGCAATTGATTGTATATATGGTTTTCTCGAAAGGTCTGCTCTAATGTAATAGGCTGGTAGTAAGCAAAATTAAAATTGACAAGTAAGTGAGATCTAAAAAACTTTTTAGAATTTTGTATAATAGTCAAATTTAAATGACCTCCAAAAATATAAAAATTATCTATTATTCATAGTGTTGTTACAACTATTAATGATAGTGTTGTTACAACTATTATTGATAGTGTTGTTACAACTATTATTGATAGTGTTGTTACAACTATTATTGATAGTGTTGTTACACCTATTATTGATAGTGTTGTTACAACTATTATTGATAGTGTTGTTACAACTATTAATCGACATTTTTGAAATTGACTAAGTCAACTAAAAGTCAATTTAGTTGAAGTATGGGAGTAATTGAAATAAATAGTAATAAAAATGATAAATTAATTTATACTTCCTTCCTATAATGTAATATAATTTAAATATTAATAGAGCAAAACAATATAAGAGAAGGGCTGCTTCGACAACTGGACAATATATTTCTAATCCCCAATGATTTAGAGACTGTCTTAAAAAATTGCTATCACTGTGTCACAAAATGATTTTTAAACCTCTTTTACCGAGAAAAACCTGTGGAGTTACATAATATGTGGAGTTACATAATATGTAGGAGTTACATAACCTGTGATAGTACAAGTATGTAAGAGTACATTAGAGTTGGTTTTAAAATCTTTCATCATCGTCCGTGAACAAAAAAATCGATGTGAAACTTTTGATTTTTTGGCCTATTGACAAGGTTATTAATCAAATGAAATAAAACATTTTTTACATAAAAATTGTATTTTTATGTCACATAAGTTACTAACAAAGATAAGCAACTTGTTTAAGTAAGAGTTACTAAGCTCTTTATTAATTCTAAAAATCCAGGAATAGCCTGCAAGCAGTTTCATTGTGCCTTTTGAGAAAAATACGAAGTGCAAGTGCAAAACTATTTAAAATGCCGCATCAAGCGAAAACTCAGGATGACAACAGAAAAACTGTCCGTTTTTTCTGTTTGAAAAAAGCTAACAGGTAACTGACTGACTTTTTTGGTTAAATGGTCAAGAAGTTTTTGGTCAAGCTATCAACTTTGAAGATCAAAGAGTCTCAATTAGTATATGCGAAAACTGTCGAGTAGGCCTTAGATAAAGAATGGTGAAGATGTTTAACTTCTTGCAACAAGAGAATCATGTGATTGCATGATTTGTTACGTGGGAAAAGCCAAGTTTGGAAGCCCTCAGCCGAATGGAACAATAAATACAACCAGTCAGCCGAAAAAACAGCCAGTTGTTAAGAAACTTTGTTCAGCATACTTTTCACTGATTGGAAGAGGGATTCCACATAAATGTACAAATGGAGTTCTTCGACAGAACTTGCTTGAAGTTGCCGCAAAAAACAAAAGCAGCAGAAAGAGTAGTTGCTTCTGTTATAGCTAACAAGTTTTATTCACCCCATATACTGTGGGTTTTAGTCAAGAAATAGAAAGGCATCTTCCAGTTACTCTAGGTGAAAAATATTTTTTCTTAGTAATATATGCTTAATGTGTTTTTATTTTAGTGACTCTTTTATTACACTTTTTTTCTAGGACCATCAATCAGCATCAGAACTTTTCTAGCAGCTACATCCGCCTTAACTGTTCAATAACTTCTACCATTTCAAAATCAGACTGGACTTTCAAACGTTTAACAAAGTAGGTCCCCAGCGAGTAGATGATAAAAACTTCAGGGATAAATTTGAGTCTCTTAAAAAGCATCTTTCTGACTTGTTTGTCCCCTCAGAAATTTCAGACACATCCAAACGTCTATTGGAGAATAATCCAAACATCTATTGGTGTTCTGCAAAGATGTTGAAGCTCTAGTAAACACTTTAGTTCAGATCAGAGGTCTCTAGGGGTTCTTGACTTAAAACCACATTAAAAAACCACTTAGAACCCCGACTAAGAAACCTCTCTTCAAGGATTCTGGAGTGAAACATCAACTTCTGTTGGCTATTGCAGAAAACTATTCTAAGTAAAGCAGATCATGGAGAAATTGAGCCTTGAGAGATTGCCTTTTGTGTTGTCATGTGGCATTAAGCTTGAAAACATTATTTGTGGTTTGCAGTCTCACTCAAGTGTTCACTCTTGTACCTGGCATGACATTGAATCAAAGAATCTTCATCAGAGTGGTGAGCTCCGATGCTTTGGCTCCATTGAAACTGATTATATAAGCTTACAAACAAAAAAGCCAGGGACTTTTAGAATCTTGTGCATAAATCAATTATTAAGTTACATGAAGGAACACTCATCTTGGACTCCACCCATGGAACTTCTGTAATACTAGGGTAACTTTGAAACATAATATCTTTGTAATGGCTAATGATTTTTGCTTGAAATTTTCAGGGTATACTCAATTTACTCAAGAAACTCGGTTAACAGATGGGATTAAAAAAATTCTTCTTAAATATTTTTAAATAAAGGAATTAGTTCACATGTTAAGTCAAATTACTTAGAATTTCAAGCATATTTTTAATAATTCGTAATAAAACTTAAAATATGTCCTTAAATTAAAAATCCATCTGTCAACCGGAATAAAACATTATAATGCAACAATATACTAAGTTTGAACTAGAGAAAATGTATATAACGGAAGATATCACGTCATAAAGTTATTGAATTTTATGCATTTTTTAAGCAGTTTTTCCGCCATTATGGATTTAAAAAAAAACTTTTAGAAAAAAATTTCATTTCAAATATTTTTTTTTTTTATAAATTTATAATCAGAAAAATATTAGTTTTTGGTTTTATTCCAATTTTAAATTGAAAAAGTGCTTTTTAGTGGTGTACCACCTTAAAAATCACCTACTAAGTAAATCCTGATTTAAAGAAAAGGAGCTTTCAATTTATTTCTCCCCCAAGTATAAAATTTATTAAATCTATTTGAAATTATTATAAAACAGTTGTTAGAAAATGCGCTTTCGACCGCAAACCACACCAAATTTAAATAGTTTTATGCGTGTTTTGTAAAAAATATTAGTTTGGATTTATAAATGAAATTTTTTATAAAAAATGCTTATATTGTAACATAAATTTTTTTTTTAAATATTTAACACTTATAAAATGATTTTTACCATTTTATAAGTATTAAATATGCTAAATTTATTTTATCAATAGGAATATGGCTATCTCGTGGAACAAATTTTATTCAGCACTATTGGAAACAAATTTTTGAAACGAAAAATGTAAAATTTGTAATTTGTAATAAGTAATAACTGAAGAATTTTTAAAATTTATGAGTAAATACTTAAAAAAAAGTGCTTTTTATTAATTTTTTTATATAGAAGATGAATGAAATATTAATAGCAATGTTTGTTCTTTTGCTGATTGAATAAACACTTTGCAAATATTTTAAGCTCATGTTGTTAAGAATCTTATTTCTAAATAAGATATCATCCGAGCAGCACACTACGTTGGACCAACATCAACAAAATGTTCAACTTTGATTCAAGGTGTTTTACTGCTTGGGAAAAAAAATAAATAAAAAGTAAATAATTTTTTTAATATAAATTTTTAAATTTTCTGCATCGTAATTTTTTTTTCGCATCCAACCCATTGACAAAAAAAAAAAAAAAAAAAAAAAAAAAAAAAAAAAAAAAAAAGGAAAAAATCTTGCTAAGATTCAAAGGGGAGTGTCTTAATAAACATGACTAAATTTCTTATATTTATGAGTAAAGCACGTTTTTTATGTTTGAGATAGCTGACTTCCAGACGTGGAGCAACCTCTAAACATTAATTTGTTTATAATTGTGTCAAATGAGAATGCTTTGCAAAGAAAAATTAGGATTGGAGCGTGGAACAAAAAAACCCTCAAATTTTTGCGTCTTTTAGTCGATTTTTGCGTCCTGAGTCGTGCCTTGAAGACGTGATAAAATTTAAATGTCTTTAATTTTTTTTTGCGCTTAATCGCGTTTGAAACGTTTTGACTTTTTATATTATACTATACTACAGTATTTCAAACATGAATGCATGACTGAAGGGGTTTGAAATGAATGACTGAATAAATGCGTGGCTGAAGGAGTTTCACAGTGGTCTTGTCGATGACACTTGTATTTTTGAACATTTAAGTTTTTTTCAAAATACGAGCATATTTTACAATAAATATTTTACAAAATTCTTGACAAATATTCAAAAGTTTTTTGCACTCTTTAGCTTATAAGAACACTATTATAATCATAACAAATTATAAGCAAAAGTTTTTTTTTTACAGTTTGAAAAGGATACAGGCTAACTTTTACCAAATTAGAGTGTTCTGTTTGTGACTTTCTAGCCATGAAAGGATCATGCTTAATATTTAAAACAGTTGTGATGCAGCGGTTAGAGTGCTTGCAAGAGATCCAGGGTTCAAAGCGAGCTCTGGGCATAATTCGCACCATCGGTAAGAAAGCAATGCTCTTCCGCGGTGCTCTTTGGCAAGTTAGGTCTTCATGGAGCACCTAAAACAAAATTAAAAAAAAAAATGTTTTCAAATTGTAGTTTGTTAGAACCAACGTTGTTTGGTTTAAATCCCCCAAAAATGAATAACTTTGAAATTGCTTTCAGTAGATACCCAGTGGGCATTTCGACGTCGAACGAACGTCGAGCGACGTCGGATCTCGACGTTGGGTTTACGTTGGAAATGGAAATATTATTTGACGTCGGATAAACTGACATCGCGCGACGTCGGCATTCCGATGTAAATCCAACGTGTTTTTTGAAAACTAAAAAACATTGCCTTTAGCAGTAGTCGAACCTCGGTCTATAAGATACTAAATCTTACGCGCTTACCACTACACCACAGGAACATATTTTTCCATGTGTTTATTTAGTAATTTATACTTGTAGCTATTTGGGAATTATTACTTTGATAAGAAATAATTTTGTTTAAATATTATATAAATATTAAAACGAATAGTTATATATTATAAAAAATGTATACTCGAAATGGTTAATAGTTAAAAAACTATGCTAGTGCATCATACAAAACCTCATGATGTTTTATCAACCATTATTTAAACTTTTTTCCATTAATAAAAAAACACGCTTAGTGTTGGGTTTGGATTAAATTTTCATCAGCGATGTCCTACGACGTTGTTCCGACGTCGTTTTAAGGACGTTGGATTGACGTCGGAAGACGTCAAAAGATATCGGAGTACGTTAATATTATGACGTTGCCCGACGTCTTTTTATCGACGTTGGATCGATGTCAGTACTGCGACGTTTTTTGGACGTCTTTTATAAGATGTCGAAACAACGTCAAAATACATCGAAACGACGTCAGGGGATGTTGAGATAAAGACATCGCCCGACGTCATTTTACTGATATCGGAACAACGTCGGAATAGGTCTTTTGACATCGCTGATGAAAATCGTACGTAAATCCGACGTCGGATTGACGTCGGGTGCCCACTGGGTAACCTAATCTGATTTCTTTAGACCTAGCAATCAACACTCTCTACTTCTAGATTCGTTGTTTTGAATTTCTCTTACATTTTTTTTTTTTTTTTTGTGGTGTTCCCAGTAGCTTTTACGGTCTTATCACAAGGCACCGCGGAAGAACATTTAACTACGAAGTTCACGCTACCTTCATTACCAATGTTATGGGCTAGAGTCGGCGTCAAACCTCGGACTTCTTGGTTCTGAGCCAAAATTCTAACTATTGCACCACGGCAGCACGTATTGGAAAGAGAAGACCAGGATAAAATTATTCTTGATTTTATTAGTTGCATGTAGAAATAAAAAAATTCAGAAAAAATATACTTGGACTTGTTATTGATGTTCCAAAAAGCGGAGACTGGTATGATGGAAACTCAGCAAGAAGGGCATTTAAAAGCCACGAAAACTTGTGCTGAAATACTTTGCATTGATTTTATCTCCTAGAGATTTTATATCCTTCTGTAAGCATCTATTCGATCCATTCGATTCGATAAATGTAAAGTATATTGCAAGTATACATTTAAGGCATGTTTCACATTTTAAATGGCATCCAATACTTGTTGGAATTTACATGAAGATTACTCGTTCACAGTGGTTGTAAGAGAAAAGCCGGTTTCAATTGATCTTTTATCTAGGAGAGCAGAAATAAAGAAATGATAAGTTTTTGAGAAAACTAAGTTTTTCAGAAGTTTTTCAGAAACTTACAAATGAGAATGTAATGAGAAGATTAGATCATCAGACCAATTTGTCCCTTTTATGAGGCGAAACTCAGAATCAAAGGAGATTGCTATGTTTTGACTTTGTATAGCAAATTAACAATATTATATTCTTAATATCTAACTGATTGCTGTATTGACGACATGGGTCGTAAATTAGGTAGTGGTAGCGCGTTTGCCTCATAAGCAAGAATTTCCGAGCTCAATCCCCAATACGCCTCTGGTAGTACCGCGTCCAACTTGTTTCTTCGCGCAGCGGCCTTGTTCACCGAGGTTTGTATTTCAGAGTTATAGAATTGAGAGAGGGGTGTAACCACAATTATAGTAGCCTCCTCGACTGTAGTGGCCTTCTCAGCCTTGGAGAAGTGAATTAACATTAAAAAAAAAAATTTACTTAATCAGGAGAAATTTTTTAAAACCCGCATGTTGATATATAAAAAATATACTTTTTCTAGAATCGAGATGCGACACATGTTTCACTGCTTTTTTTGCTATTACTTGAGCCATTTATAATAGTATTATTTAATAATTTCAGTTTAATAAAAAAGTTATAAATATAAAAAAGTTATATATATATATATATATATATATATATATATATATATATATATATATATATATATATATATATATATATATATATATACATGGATAAAAATTGTTTTTTTAAATATTGGCGTGAAACCTATACTACAAAGATTATATGTTCTTGCTATGCTAGCATTTGCAGCGAAAAATATTTATGTCTAGGTATTTATGAAATGTTTACTTTGTCTAGTCTCCTTGATGTTTTTAGTTAATCAACCAGTTAACAGTTTAAGAACAGTTAAATAAGTTAAACACGTGTTGTAGAAATACCTTTTACCAAATAGATATAAATGTAAAAAGCATGTTATATGGTAAATGTGTCCTTGGTGTGCCTTTTTTAAAATTTGCACTAAAGTTTTTAATTATACTATCTTAAATATTATTAAACTACTTTAAATATTGGGTATACATCATGTGTTATATTATGTATTGTTCTTACTTTGTATCCTTGGTGCGCAATTCATGTTTATGCTTTCTAACAAGATGTTATAAATGTACCAAGATGTTATAAATATACCGTCGAGATTATTTAAAAGGTTTTAAGAAAAATGTCTGGTAAAATAAGTATATTAAAAATAAATGTCAAGTGTTTTGTTATGCTATGTGTTCTTGGTGTTCTAAACATGTATGATATTTATCTAATAAAAATGTATATCATACATACTGGTGACTATTTATAATGAATATAACATTAAAAATTAAGTATAGAACATGTCTTATTTTTTTTACTTTTTGTCTTTTATCTTTGGTTTTGTGTCATTAGTGTTTCCATAAGAGGTATAGTGAGGAACATTACAATATTAATCCTAATAGGCCAGGGTATAATAAATATTCACCGAATATTTTAGAGTGTTTGTTTCAAAAACGACAGACATGGTTTTGCCTTAAAAATTACATTTCTGGACGACTGTGCATTAATAAGAACAAAACCAAAATCTGTGTAAACTTTTCTCTGAATTAAATTTAAGATTAAGATTATTACAGTAGAAAAAAAAAGCTCCGTTAGAATAAAGGGTTCTTTTCGGCTATCAGTAAGAAATTTGTGGCCATTATTATGAGCATTTTGCTCACTTTTTATCCTACCAAGTAAAGCACCCTTGGACTGTTGATTACCTAAAATGTCTAAAATATAACCGCGTTATGCAAAGTAGTTTGCAATTAATGTGTACTAGATATGATCGATATCTCCAATGATTATGCCAACTAACACGTATTTGTCGGTCTTCGCGTCTTTAATCTCGCCAAGTAACGCGCACTTGATCGGTGCGATATCTAAAACAATAATATAAATTCTCGGTGTAAAAATCTCTTGGTAACTTAAAATATCATATAAAAGGTTAAGGAGTAACTAATAACATTCTTTAGAAATCTTTATTTTAGAAAAGTTTTTCTTCTTATGTTTTTAACAAGTTTGTTTTATAAGGAGTTTAACAGTTTTAATCAAGATGTTTTATAAGTAGTTTAACAGTTTAATCAAAGTGATTTATAAGGAGTTTAACAGTATATAAGAATTTTTATAAGGATTTCAAAAGTTTTAATTAAAGTGTTTTATAAGAAGTCAACAGTTTTAATAAAAGTGTTTAAGTTGTTAGAATTTTGGTGAGTTAAAAAAAGTTTCTAATAGTGTAAATTTAATTTTTTTTTTTTTTTTTAAATCATTTTTATTATTATATTTATCTTCATTTAAATGATTTAAATAATTTTTTTTACATTAATTTTTCATTTTAATGTTTTTGTGAAAGTCAATCTTTATAAGTTAGCTTTAAAAATATTGTTTTAAACAAATGCAAAAATATTTAAAAATTAAAAAAAAAAATTACCTTTGAGTACACCATGTATCTTCTATGGGAGTTACATGACCTGTCCTAAACATTTCATATCCTGCTTGAGCTATCATCGCACCATTATCAATGCAAAAACTAATTAAAGAAAGTTATTGATTCAATAATACTATCTCAATATAAAAACTCAATAAAAAAACACAAACAAAAAACTCTAAACAGAAAAAATAAAGAAAAACATCGTTAAGAGCGTTAAATATTTTGAAAAGAATTTCAGGATTGCATTGCTTAACTGCACTGCATTAGACTATATTTCTTCAGAGTATACCTTTTTTCTATTATTATACCATAAGACTATTTTTTCCTCTTTCTCTAAGAATGCATACTTTATATATGAATTGGATTTTTAGCTATACTTTTTGATACACTTATTGATGTATCAAAAATTTATATTGTTATAAAAAACTTTTTGATATTTTGGTATTTCTTTGCCAGTGTTACTGAAGTTTCACTCTAATAGTCCCCACTGGTGTTGCACGACATGTTGTGACAATGTTGTGACAATTAGAAGAGATTTGTGCAAACAAATTTATGCGTTGATTTATGTTCCTGCAAAAAAACATTGCTTTTCGCAAAAGAATATTAGAGACCGTATGGTCTCGTATGCCAGAAATATAAGAACTGGTCAGCGGTAGATTGACAGACTGTAATATTTAACTATGAATCATTAATCAAACAACTTGGTTATCGTTCTAAAAGCCTTAGACAGCCTGTCTTGCAAATGATATAACCTCGAATGCAGTGTCGTTACAGCTGATCAAAGTGGTAGTTTATGGTTTATGTTTCCTAACACCACAACAAAAAAGAAGAACTTTAACTATTCATGAACATCACGAATACTAACAAATTTCAGCTTGATGGAGCACTCTGTCATAGGGCCAAGCTTGTAAGCAGTTAGTTATATGAGAATAAGATTGAGGTTATATTATCTCACTTGAACTCAATCCCATAAATGCACTTGAACTCAATCCCTTGAACTCACTTGACCTCAATTTAAATTCATTAGTTTAGACTGATAAATATAAAATTATTACTCTCAAAATTATTGCATAATAATTTTTATTTTATGTAATGAACTTTATAAATTAATTACTTATATATTATTTACTTTAATATATTAATTAATTTTATCGAGGAATTTATAATTGTTGCAATAATTCTTAAAATTTTATTACAAAAAGAAAATATAAAACATTTTTTATAAGCAGTAAAAACCTTAACAGCTCTTGGTCAAATTTTTTTTATCAAATAAGTAATGTTGTTAATAAATAAATGGATAATTAATGCTAAAACCCAAAGACAACACTCATCTAAAGAATTTTTTCGCGGCGCAATAAATGACACCTTGTTATGTATATATACTTGTAACATTAACAAAACATATGCTTGTAACACGTAAACCAAATTTTGTATTTAATAATTTTTTAATAAATAATAAGATATCAAGTGCAATAACCAAAAGCTGTAAGAAGCTGTTTAGAAGATATATATATATATATATATATATATATATATATATATATATATATATATATATATATATATATATATATATATATATATATATATATATATATATATATATATATATATATATACATAAATGCATATATACTCACCACCCACCTTCTAGAACAACTGAAAGTTTTAGTTCATATTTGCATCATGGCATAATTAAAAAAACCAACTACGAAAAGAAATTAAACTACTTAATAGGTGATTTAAATTAATTTTGCTTTGAATATCATGCAAAATCCAACATTAAAAAGTTTTATGACATTTTTAAAATGGTGTAGTTCCACTAATTAACAAACTGACTCACTCAATCCACATCCTCCCTGATTGATTATATAATAACATATTTATTTAATGAATCTATTAAAAAAGTGACAATTCTGATCACTTCCCTGTTTTCTTTTCCATTAAACTTGAATACGTGAACTTATATAAATCAATTTTTTCTTAATTGTATTTTTAATGAAAAGAATTCGGAAGCATTTAAGGAGAATTTGTCTCATTGATTGGTGCATATTAGATGACATTAGCCTTTTAGATGATGCCAATCTGGCTTGACACTTTTTTCAAAATTTCCTTTGATATATATCATGCTAACTTTCCAAAAAATTAAAATAAATAGGAAATTAAAAAATATAAAATTCTCCAGTTTTCTAGAGGTATAACTAACTCTTTTGAAAGATCCCAATATACAGTTGGAGTTTTTATTGGCTTAGCTGAAACTTCGATACAACTGATCACAAAATTCTTTTAAATAAACTAAAGATTAACAGTATAGACGGTAATGCTTTATATTGGCTTAAAAGCTATTTAAATAAACGAAAAGCAACTTGTATACGCTGATGTAGTATCACCAGTAAACTTGCTTGATATAACTTGTGGAGTTTCTCAGAAATCAATAATAGGTTAATGTTAATCAAAGTTAATGATGATTATGTTTGCAGACAACACAAACTTATTCTTATCTCACAATATTACATTACTATTTCATAATATGAACAAAGAACTAGCAAGTGTTTCTGATTGGTTTAAAACAAATAAACTGTTTTTTAATATTAATAAAACAAAATGGAATTTTTTTTATCTTAATTACAAAAAAACATTTTTCATCTTAATCACAAAAAAACATGACAGACCATCTCTTTTTTTGATAATATAATATAAAAAAAGTCAGTAAATAACTTTCTTGGTATTTATACTGATGAAAATCAGACGTGGAACTTAAAAAATTTGATAAGTAAAATATCAAAAAGCATTTTGATATAAAGTTTTCTAAATAACTTAAACTACATATAAGAAATAATACTTAAGAAAACTATATACTTATACTTAAACTTATTTACTCATTTTTCAACTTTGCAAACATTGCATGGGGTACATGCCTCATTAATTTCATGGATCACGCCAAGCTTCTTTTAATTGAAATAAAAGTTTTTAATATATATGAGCTTTTTTATATTATTTATATTAATTTTTTTATATTATTTATATTAATTTTTTTTAATATTATTTATATTAACTTTTTTATATTATTTATATTAATTTTTATATTATTTGCTTTATGTTTAAATTTAAAAAAAAAAACATATCTCCTGTACCTTTTTATAATTTGTATACCAAAAAAGAAAAAACTAAATACAATTTACAAAATGATAACAAAATTAGTCAATCATCAAACTAATTTTCAAAAATATTGCATTTCATATCGGAGAGCTTTTCTTTGGAATGAAATAGTTTTGAAAAACTTTGTTTTTAATTTTAAATTATTTTTTTATCTTCTAGTATATTAGCTTGAAAGATTGAGTTCTTTCATTTCTTATTAATTGTAAATTTCTTTATTTATTTTGTGAATATCTTATTATAAAAAAATTTTAACTCGTAATCTTTTTAGCGGCTCTCAACGACAAGACATTCTTCTACGAGCCCCTGCGTTCTTAATATTGTTCTTGTAAATTTTTATTATATTTCTGTATTTTATATTTTATTTTTTATTTTAGATATTTTCTGAAGAAGTTTTTTTACAAAAATAACAAGATTTGTGAAGAAATGGTTTCAGTATTCCTATGCAGAACCCAAAATTGTTTATGTACTGGCTATGTTTCTTCTTACAACATGACTACCATATAGCTCCTTAAAATTTCTCAATCCAAGAGCATCAATAATTTGCTCTGGCAAAGAGTTCCAGTGTTTTACTATACAATTAGTGAGAAAATTTTTTTCACTGCTCGCAATGCTTCACCAGTTGACATTTTATTCGCATTGCATGACCACGAGTACCACCAGCAGGTCCATCGCAATGAAAAGAGGGAAGAGACATCGGTGGGTGGTGCCAGTTAATGATATCAATCTGATGTATTAAAATGCTGTATCATATCACTTCTGATCTTTCTCTCAATTTAGGGTGGTAAGTCCTTAGGTCCTTAGGATGGTAAGTCCTTAGGGTGGTAAGTCCTTAGGGTGGTAAGTCCTAGTTCTTTGAGTCTTTTTTTATATGGAAGTTTTGATATCTAGAAAATTACTTTTGTAATTTTTCTTTGAATGTTTTCTAAAATCTTGATGTCTCTCGCTTGATATGGTTTGAATTGATTGAATGATTGAACTGCAAATTCTAAATGTGGTCTAATATATGTTATATAAAGCAATGTTGAAACCTCTGTTGAAATACTTTTTTAAAAATTCCAAGTATTTGATTGGGCTTCATAGCAGCAGAATCTACTTGCATCTTAACTTAAGGATTATCAAAGATAAGTACATCTAAATCTTGTTCAATATAGGTATCAGCTAATGTGACTTGTGTGCCATTGTCATCATACATATAGTATTTTTGATTTGATTTAGTCGATCCTTAACCCATATACATGAACTTACATTTTTTAATATTAAACTTTATTTGCCAATTTCTTGACCATTCAACAGCTTTATTGATATCAGATTGTAAAAAATCCACATCTGATGGTGAGCTGATTACCCCAATGATTTTGCTATTATCAGCATATAATTTTATATTGTGTGTCAAATTATCTGGTAGGTCATTAATATACAACAAAAATAGAAGGGGACCGAGGACTGATCCCTGTGGGACACCACTGACTACTTTCTAATCTGATGTACTTGGTCCTAATTAAACCCGCTGTTGCCTTTTATTTAGCCATGCTTTAATCCATGCATGCTTTATTCGGGATAGCTCAGTTGGTAAAAGCGCTGCTAAAAAGTTTGGAATAATTATTGGCAGTAGCAGCAGGATTCAAGGTTCAAATCCCGGCTCCGCCTACTCAGCGTATGAGTAGTACTTCGGTACGAAGGGAACTCATCTCGATTAGCTCTGCTATTACGATGTTTCCTTCTCGACTAGTAAATAAATAATCTAGTCGAGTAAATTAAAATTATTGTTTTATCATTTTAATCCATTTATAACGAATCCGTTTTTTTTAAATGTCATAAAAGAACAAAAAAAAAAACTTTTTATCGCCTGTCACAATACACCACAGAAAAATTTTCTTTTTTTATTTGGCAGAACAAAGAAATCGCAATATTGAAAAGGTAAATTGAAAGTGACATTTTCAGTCAGTTTGAGTTGTAGCTATTTTCCTGTTTTTTGAACTTTCCCTGTTATACACATATATGTGTGTGTATGTATGTATATGTGTGTATATATATATATATATATATATATATATATATATATATATATATATATATATATATATATATATATATATATATATATATATATATATATATATATATATATATATATATGTATGTATATATTTAAAGTTACGATCACTTTATATATTGGAATAAAATCAAATATTGATTTTATTCCAATATTATAAAATTTTAATTAATGAAACATTTAAATTTAAAAAAATAATAAAGTAAATAATAAATAATAATAATAAAAAAGATTAGTACAAATTGAATACATAAATTGAAATTATTAATATTTTCAAATGATAAAACAACATTTGACCTTTCATCAGTTGCAAACAAAACAGCATTCCTCTCCTTTGCCATAATGCCTAAAAAAATTGAATATACAAAACTTCATCTCATACTTATGTTTTTTGAAGTAATATAGTAAAGTCTTTTTTTCTCAACAGCTCAGAAATAAGTTTCAAGTTTGTTTGTCTTGACAAATCTGTCAGATGCTTTTGCAGAGAAATATTTGAGTGTAGACTACCTGGAATTTGGCAGATTCTTTGTTTTGTATTATCTAATAGCAATTATAACAAAAGATAATATAAGTATAATAATAGAAAAACTTTACCCATCATTTCTTGAAGTCTTTTATTACCTAAATATATAAAACTTTTGAATTTTATCTAGTTTTTAAATCCTTTAGTATAAATGACGTCCATAAATTACATCACATAATTTTTGACTTTAAATACCATAATATTTTTAATTTTCTTGCCGTTTTTAGTTAACTAATACATTTTAATGCATATTAATTTTGACTAACATTATTTAATATTATTTTATTTTTTATCATTATTATATATATATACTTACTATTAACTCATTATTTGCGCGTGCCTACAAATAATAAGCCTTACGTAAAAAAATTATTTGTACACAAAAAAATGTATCATTTATAATATTTACACATTTTTGTAGAGCTGTGGAAAATTAAAAGTTTCAAACATGGCATGGCTAACTACGGAGTGGGTTCAACTTTAAGTTGAACATTAGTGCATCAATGAATACATATAATGACTGATATAGCTATAGTTACAGTGTAGTTACATATATTGACTCACTTAAGTAAGTATAAGGGAAGTAGAGTGTATTTTCTGCACTACTATAGTTCCATATAAAATTGCACAAATTAAAAATTGAAAAATTGCCTCTGAAGATGTTTAATTTTTGCAGCTATATTTACATTAGTCTGCAACTATATCTATATTATTAACTGAGAATACTGACGGAATCTAAAATTTAAATCAATTTAAAAATTAAATTCCAATTAAATTCATGTCATTTTAAAAAGTCAATTCCAATTTAAATTGGAATAGCATCTTCATCTATTAGACTGGTGCAGATGTAAACCTTTGTTATACTTTTGCCTGCTTAAGATGATGATTGCTAGATTGTCTTGACTCTACTAGTTTTTTAACAACTCCTTGCTAGTGGCTATGAAATTCTTCCTGCTATCTCCTAATGAGGGTTTAGCTCTACAACTAGTTTAATGGTTATGAAGCTGGCATATAGTAAGGTAAACTAAAGATCTCAAACCTTAAAAACCTCTTATAAATTGGATGCTTAATAATTATATTGATGAATTATTTAAAAAATAATTTATTGAAATTATTTATCGAATAATTTGTCTAATTTTAGTTTTAATATATCCAATAGAATTTTTTAATACAATTTAATAATTCAATTGGAATGAAATAAATTACTTAAAAAAATAAAGCCCTTACAGCCAACACCACCAACAATAAGAACTTCTGATGAACCACAATGTGCCATGGCTCTTTCTAAAATTAAACCTTAGTTTAAACTTGAAAAAAAATTAAATTCTAAAATCATTTAAAAAATAAATAATAAAAGTATAGAGAAAGAGTATAAAAGAGAAAAATAACATTAAGATGTTATTTAACATCTTAAATGTTTAATTTATTCCAGACTGATATACTAAATTTGTAACTTTTCAAATACGGTCGAACACCGGTTAACTCAAACTTTTGTTATCTCAAACTGATTTCTATAGTCCCTAGAAAAGCAAGAACAATGTTTTACTTTGCCTAAGTCCAACATTTGATAAAACATTTTCCTTGGTTATTTGGAGGTTCGAGTTAATGGGAATTCACTGTATATTTTAAAATTTAAAACCAAATTTTATAACAATTGTTATTGTATAACAAAATATATTATAAAGCGTATTAAACCACAAATAAAAATACAAATAAACTTAAAAAAGTGATACAATTTGTTTTTTTTAATCAAACTAAATCCAAAGAATTAATAGAAAAATTCAAGTACTTTCTAAAATAAATTTTTTAAATCTTTTAACATTGTTTAACATTGAATAAAACATTGTTTTAAGAATAAAATGTTTTATTCTTAAAATGTTGTTTTATTCTTAAAACATTGTTTTATTCTTAAAACATTGTTTTATTCTTAAAACATTGTTTTATTATAAAAAATGTTTACTTTAAAATGATAAACAAAGTTAAATTTTAAATGAAATATAATTTTGAAATATGTTTCTAAAGCAAATAGAGTTTTTGGTCTTATCACATGTTTTCATTTTTAAATGCAGATGTATTTAAAATGTTATATGTTTTGCTGTACATCTTGACTTTACGTTTTTGAAAAAAGATATTGATCTTATTAAAAGAGTGCAATGACTTTTCCCAGATTATTTAAAGTTTTATTAAAAAATTAAAAAGACAATTTAATTCTAAGAGAAATTCTTCTAAGAAAAGAGAAACTTGTATATAATATGATAAACGTTTTAGTAAAATTTATCAGTTTCAACATCTTACTTGAGAACCTTTCATTTACCAAAAAGGCCAGCTGAAAAAAACAGCTGAAAGTGTTTGTGAATATAATCATAATCAAAGATACATTCTGAGAATAATATTTATCTAGAAGAAATTTAATAATCACACTAAATTTTTAAACATATTAAACTAATGATGAATTTTAAAAAAAGTCTTGACAAATAATTTAACATGAATTCAAATCGTAAATTTTAAAATAAGTCTCAACAAATATTTTAAAAAAGAATTCAAATCTTAAAATAAATCTTGACAAATATTTTAAAATAAATTCAAATTGTAAATTATAAATATTGTTACTTGCTGCAAGAGTGGTTTTCCACTAAGCCTTGTTTTAATGATTTTTGTTTACTATTACAGTGATAGGAAATAAAATAATAAGAACTTTTTGTATATAAATATTACCAGTTTCATAAACAAATATACTATTTTATAAAAAAAAGTGTGATGTATAGGTGGTGGATTAGCACCCCCTCTGGATCCTTCAATACACCCTTTTCCTAGAAACTAGTTTGAAATTATAATCCATTTGTATATCTATCTTTTGATACTAAGTTATAGATATTTGAATAAGAATTGGCAAAGTTATAACAATTTATGTGAGAATTTATCGAGAAATCCATATATTTGCTATAATCTAATATTTGCTACTAAAAATGTCATAACTTTTTATTGATTTTTTGATTTCTGTTTATTTATTGATCATACAACTTTTAATGATGCTCATATATTTTTCTCTTTATACTCATACAAAACTAAAAATACCTGTTATTTCAATAAGCATAGCAAACAATGTTTCCTAAAAAAAAAAAAAAGTATATCATACTAGTTTAAATTATCATATCGCCATACTAGTATAGATCATCATATCATCATACTAGTATTGATTATCATATCACCATACTAATCACAATCATATCACTATCTATACTAATAGATTATCATATCACCATACTAGTATAAATTATCATATCACCATATTAGTATAGATTATACTACTACATAGTAGTATAGATTATCATATCATTATTAATAACTCAGTCAGTCACAATATATTAGTACAGAAAAAAAAAAAAAAAACATACAAAATTTAAATTAAAAGCTTTATGTTTAAAATAATAAAACACAAATAACATGCAATGCATTAGCTATTTTAAATTACTTGTTAATTAGCAAAAGTTCAAATTTCAAAATGCTAGAGCCAGTGTTGCTTTGATGTTAAATACAAAACATTAAAGCAGTAAGTGCTCAAAACAATAACAATACTTGAATATTGTCAATGCTTACGAACACTATTTTAGGATCCAAGACTAGTCAGTTTGATTCTAGTTTAATTTGATTAAATCTAATGCTTGAGTTCAGCTCAATTCAACCATAATTTCAGTTTGGTTCAATAAATCTGAAGTTTGAGTTTAGGTTCAGTTTGGCTTGAAGAAATTAGGCAGTAGAAAAACTAAGTAATAAAAATCAATTCAAACCACATTGTAATAAAACTGTTATAAAATAAATCATAATAATTAAACTAAATTATATTTTTAACGGTATATTAATAATATACCGTTAAAAATAAGCATAATATTTTTATAGATTTAATGAATTTCTAAATATAAGCTAGTTTTTAAAAGTTTTTCACACATTTATTAATATATATTTATATATAAGTAATTTCCTGCTTAGACTCTTCTACAGCTTGTGGTCTGAACATCATACTTGTTATAGTCTTGCAAAAGTGTTCTCATGAACTTTCGACTGTACTTTCAAAACTATTTACCAAGTCCTTATCAAAGTCTTGTTTTCCAACCTGCTGAAAAGCGGCATCGGCACCCTATTTTCAACTAAAATTCTGGAGAGCAATCTGACTATTATAACTACCGCCCCATTAGTCATCTTCCTAGGTTTTTGAGTCTTTAATTAATAAACACCTAATCTCTCACCTTGAATCTAATAACTTACTTTATGATCATCAATATAGATTTCAATCTTCTCCTTTTACTGCTGATTTGTTAACGGTAATAACTAATAGGTTTTATTGTGCATTGAATAGACGATATCAGGATTCTATTCTTTATTTTTATAAATCTCAAATCTGCCCTTTTATAGAATACTGTTGCCATATCTAGGGCAGATCTTCCAATGATGCCCTTTCTCTTTTAGACAAGGTACAAAAACGCATTGTAAACATAGTTAAACCTGCCCTTGCAGCTAAACTCCAACCATCATCACATCGCTGTAATGCTGCTTCTTTCTCTTTTCTATAAATACTATTGGGCACTGCTCTAAAGAGCTAGCATCTTTTGTGCCATTTATTAAAATTCATTCTTGTGTTACTTGTCATTTAATTAAGTCTTATCCTTTTACTGTGACAGTTCCTAAGTGCACCAAAAAATCTTATTCATCTAGTTTTTTTCCTTGAACAGCAGTGTGTGTGTGTGTGTGTATATATATATATATATATATATATATATATATATATATATATATATATATATATATATATATATATATATATATATATAAATTAGTAAAAACACTAATCGAATTCTATCTTTACCAACTTCTTTCACCACCAGTAGGTTCATCAGAAAGCTCCCTGATGAACCTACTTATGGTGAAACAAATTGCAACAGATAAAATTAGTGTTTTTACTAATTTATAATCGCTCTGTTCTTTAAGAACATCGAGCACTTAATTTGTATATTTCACTAAATTAATTTATATATATATATATATATATATATATATATATATATATATATATATATATATATATATACATTAATTTATATGTATATACACACACACTATATGTATGATATATAAATATATATATATATATATATATATATATATATATATATATATATATATATATATATATATATATATATATATATATATATATATACACACTATATGTATGATATATAGACACTATATTTTATATAAATAGAGCTAACATAAAAAAGTCACGCGCACACACACATACATCTTTCAAGGAAACTCTTTATTGAGTTCACTGTTTGTCAATAGTTAAGGTTGTACTCCTTCTTTGTAAAAAAAAAGATTAACTTATATGGAAGAATTACAGCAATTCTTCCATATAAGTTGAATAGTTGATGCCACAGCACATACTTCTTTTCAAGTTCTGTAATGCATAAAATCCAAGAAAAACCTTACTCAATTTTTTTTTTGACAACTAATTTACATCTTTTTCAACACTAAAGTAAAAATGTGTATTGACTAACGAGGTTCTCAATTCTATTAAACTTTATGAATATGCTGTTGATTAGTTAACTGTAGTAAATTTCTATTGTGTGTTACATGGATGCTGTAAGGCAAAAGCTTTGTTTATCTGTTCTTCACAATTTCATACTCTTTCATATGGTGTGTCTGTAAGATTTCAAATATCTTAGTATTTTTAAATATTTTATTTTTTCTAGTATCAATAAAGACCATATTGTCAGGAATACCAACAAATAAAGTTTGAAAAATGCTGGTGCAAAATATATAATTATTAACCACAATCATTCAATTTTAAGTATGTTAAAAAACAATTTAAAATTTTTTTTTCAAATTATTAGAATATTAAATGGTATTTTGAACTAGATGAGTTGCAGTTGAAATCAATATTGTCTATCATTTTAAAACTTATCTACCAACTGGTTTATAAATTTCAACATGATTAACCTTAAACTTGAAGTACATACATACTTGAAGTGAAAAACACAAATCTTCAGCGGTGCACTCTTTGTTTTTCAACATCTTTTTTGCAGCACCCTAAAAATATTTATACAGAAACATCAAACAACTTTTTATTGACAAATTTTTCAATTTTGAGGCATTTTAATTTAAAACACTTAAACACAAACTATTATAAAAATCTATTGAGCATGGTTAGCTCAATAGGTTTTCATAACCATTTGTGTGGAGTGAAGAAAAAAAAAAATGTAATTGAGAGTGAAGAAAAACTAATTTAAAATTAGGAAAAACATTTTTTTGAAAATTCTGATTTTTCAAGCTTAATAAATGAGAAAAATCAATGAAGTAATCTATATGATTGTTTTATAAAGATAATAACTTTTATTAACTTAAAAAGATAAATGCAAGTGATAACAAACTATTTAAAAAAATTTAAAGTAACTATAAAATATAAACAACAAATAAAAATTTTTAAAACAATATTTTAAAATAAAATACATATACATTTTATTTAAGGTTATATTTAAAAATATATAAATTTTATTTAAGGTTATATTTAATACTTTTTTCTATACATTGATTCGCTTTAAAATTTCCATCAGAAATTCTATCTATTATGCATTTTGTGTAAGTGATATTGTATTATGCCAACTATGTGAAAAAATTTAAAAAAATTAATTTGAAAAAAAATAACAAAAACAATTTTCAGTTGATTTTCTTTATTGTCTTTAACTTGAAGTTAACTTTATTTGCCAATGTCTTTAACTTTATTTGAAGCAGACAATTGAAAGTTTATTAAGGATTTTTTTTTATTTTTCAATATTTTTTTTTTTTTTTTTTTTTGTTAATTCACCAAATCAAGGTCAAGAAGAACACTACAGACGAGGAGGCTACTTATTTGTGGTTATAACCCTCTCTCAACTCTATAACTCTAAAATACGAACCTTGATGAAAAAGGCCGCTGCACGGAGATTTTTAATTTATTTTTAATAATAAAGTTATTTTTAATAATAAAGTTACATCATTTAATTTAATGATTCTAAAGTCATTGTACTTTCCAATAAAATATTATTTTCACTATGCATTTAATTGAAATGAATTATATGAATTTCCAATAAATATTATTTTCACTATGCATAACCTGATTTATTTTACTCTGGAAATGGAGTTGACAGTTCTATTTATAGTTGGTCAAATAAATTTAATAAGTTAAAGTAGTAGTTAATTTATCTAAAAGTGAATGTTGAAAAGTTTAGAATGTTTTTATTATTAACACTTTTTTTTTTTTTTTTTTTTTTTTTTACATTTCCTCAATATTTATAAAATTACAAGTTAAGATATAATAATATAAACAATTACAAGTGAGGATTTTTACTATAAATATAAAAAAAAAAAGAATGCAGAGACTTGTAGAAGACCTTAAGGTCTTGCCGTCGAGAACCGCTACAAACTCGTTACAAATTTACGTGTTAAATATTTTAAAAGAAATAAAAAAACTGTGTTTAACAATATTAGAAGAAAAACATAATTTAAATAAAAATAGAAATTTACAAATAAATTTCCTATTAAAAGTATAAAAGTATATTATCAATAGACAAAATTATTTTTTTAAGTTTCCTTTTATATGAAGTATAAGTCCATTCATGAGAAAAGTCAAAATATTTCAAGACTATTTTATTCCAAAGAAAGGCTCCTCGGAAAGAAACACAAGATTTACCAAAGTTTGTATGCGAAACTTTTAGTTGAATAAAATTATCATTTCGTAGATTGTACTTGTTTTTTTTTTTTTATTGAGTATAGGTTATGAAAGGAAGAAGGGGAATCGTTGGTCTTACATTTATACAAAAAATATAAAATATTATAAACGTTTAGCCATTATATATTTAAAATATTCATTTCAAGTAAGAGAGGCCTGGCATGAGTAAAAAGGTCTTTAAAGTTTATAAGACATGCAATATGTTTCTGTTGACGATGAAGAGGTTCTACTATACTTCACACTACTCCAAGCAATATTAGCGTAGTTAATATGGCAGTGAATAAAGGAATAATACAATTGAATTAAAGTATTTTTGTTTAAGAAACTTCTTGATTTATATAATATTCCTATAGTTCTAGCAATTTTGTTATTTAAATTGTTAAAGTAATTTTTTCATTTAAGATTTTCATCAATATAAATGCCTAAAAGTTTTGTAATTTTTGTTCGCTTTATTTCAATATTGTCAACAAAAATAAGAGGCGTAATACTTGGAATTAATTTTTTTTTGAAGTTGGGTAAAAAAGCATCCATTTAGTTTTTTCTATATTAATTGATAATTTGTTTGATTTAAACCAGTCAGAAATTTTAATAAGCTCAGTGTTCATATTTCTAAATAATGTTGTTAGATCATTGCTGGTTATAAAAGTGTCATCCGCAAACATAATTTTCATTAAGTTTGAGATAATTGATGTATATTAGGAATAGAAGTAGGCCTAGTATTGAGCCTTGTGGCACTCCACAAGTTATATTTAATAATTTTGATGATAATGATGAGTCTATTTGAATAAACTGTTTATGATTAGTTAAATAGTTCTTCAGTAATAAAGTATTTCCAGTGATTCCATAATGTTCTAGTTTGTTATAAAGAATTTCATGACCTATAGTATCGAAAGCTTTCAATAGATCTATGAAAATACCTAATGTGTATTGTGATGTTTCAAATGAGACTTGAGCATTTTGAAAGCAATCTCAAATTTATCAAAAGTTTAAATTTATTTACAGAAGATATTTCATGGGAAATCAAATCTTTTTTTGAATTGATTGAATTATTAATTATAGGGATGTTTTTGGCTAAATTTGGTCCGACTGATACAAAGAACTTGTTTATTTTGTTTGCTATTATGTTAGGGTTATAAAAAATTTCAGTATTTATACACGATTAACACGATGAAGAAATTATAATAAAAAATTTGCAATTACTCTTCAAGAAAAAACTGTTTTCAATATTTTCATAAACTAAGAAACTTTTATTAACTATGATGAAAAATCTCTAAGAGATTGACTGATTATTTGTATAAACTTTAAATGAATGGAATTTTAATTCCAACTCTTTTGTTTCGTAACTTAAAAAATATTTTACTACCAATAATACTGATATTTTTTTAAACAATAACTTCTACCAACTGTTAATAAACATTTTCATACAACAACTTCTAACAACTTTTAATAAACATTTTTATAAATATAAATAAAAGGGTTAAAACAATTTAAGTAATTGACACTACTGGCTAACAATAATTGTTATTTTAATTTTAAATATTTAATATTAAAGGATGTTCTTTAGAAAGAAAGAAAAACAGTTTTTCCAAGCTCCTAGAGTTGCATATGTAATTAAACAATCACTCATGATTTGGCCTTGGAAATTGACTTAAATTACCTCATACGCCATAAATAGGACAAAGATATATCCTATGTTGTCAAGATATTTCGGAAAGAAATCCTCCTTAATAATTCCATAGTAAAATGTAAACATTGTAACATTGATGTAACAAGTTAAATATTCGATATCAAGTTTATCTTCCTTAGATATTTACATCTAATGAAATTTTTTTTTTCTTGTTATAAAAATTGAATTCACAACATCTTGTAAAATTTTCAATACAATTCACAATACTGTTTTGCAGAAAGTTGAAACATTTTTACTTGAATTTTCTGCGCAGTATATATACTTTTATATATATGTATATATTCAAATACTTTTACATAAAAGTATATATATAATATACATTTATTGTATATCATATTTATACTTTATATATATATATATATATATATATATATATATATACATATATATATATATATATACGTATATATATATATATATATATATATATACATATATATATATATATATATATATATATATATATATATATATATATATATATATATATATATATATATATACATATATATATATATATATATATATATATATATATATATATATATATATATATATATATATATATATATATATATATATACCCATATAGTGTAGCTTTAAGAGCATTTTAATGTAAAAAAAGTCTCTTACGACTACAATTTAAATTACCTAGTCTCTTAAGCTGTTTTTGATTGTCATCGAAATGTCAAAGCAATTAATTTATGCGGAAGTACATTAAATTTAATTGTTTTTTAAAAAATTTTTAAAAAACCGCAATTATAACGACTAGAAAGTTTTTTTTAATTAGTGGTGTTTTTGTTATTGATTTAATAAAAAACATTTTTTAAACATGCGTAAATGTTGCTACATCGACTATCTTATAGCCTGACTCGCAACGGAGTGCTGCTACATCGACTGACAAATAGCCTGACTCGCAACGGAGTGCTGCTACATCGACTGACAAATAGCCTGACTCGCAACAGAGTGCTGCTACATCGACTGACAAATAGCCTGACTCGCAAGGGAATGCTGCTACATCGACTGACAAACAGCCTGACTCGCAAGGGAGTGCTGCTACAACGACTGACAAATAGCCTGACTCGCAAGAGAGTGCTGCTACATCGACTGAGGGTTTGGTTTGGCCAGGCAGTCTATCAATTAAAAAAAAAAATTTAATTTTTAAAACTTTTTCTGGTCTGGTTTATTAACGCGCTCTTTAAAACTACAGTTTATGGGAAACATTTTTTGATGCCACGCAAGAGACATGCAAGAGTATATATATATATATATATATATATATATATATATATATATATATATATATATATATATATATATATATATATATATATATATTATATATATATATATATATATATATATATATATATATATATATATATATATATATATATATATATATATATATATATATATATATATCAGGCTTGGTTGGGAAGCGGAAGCGATCACTCTCAAATACTGACCACACAAATTATATTTAGTTGCGAAAAACTGGCCAGGAAAATAAAGTTCTAGAGTATTCTGTTGAAATGTTTTAGAAATTATTCACGATTTGTTACATTTTGAGATTTCTAGCATAAATTGTTTTAAGAATATATATTATTTGTTTACGAAAATAAATGTTTTAAA